ACAAGGAGTAGAAATATGATTCAGAGATCCGCGGAATCGCTGAAAGTGTAGCTTTCCAGCGGTATCTCCTGTGAGACTGTAACCAGGGCACAGCAGGCAATATGGCCGCTCAAAGCAGCTTGACTTTGCACTGTGTGAGATTGGTGGATTCGTGTGTCCGTCAAGGAAATCTCGGCCGGCAGCCATCATGTTCTGAAATGGCCAATGGACATCGAGAAATCACTAAGGACCTACCCACCAAGTAAAAATAAACATAAATCACGTGTCTCCCAACGTGCAGTTTTGCTTTATTGGGGGGCTCTGGGGGGGTCCGAAAACCCTAGGGTTAAACCCCAACCCTAACATGTCACCCATTGAGCATGTTTGGGATGCTCTGGATCGGCGTATACGACAGCGTGTTCCAGTTCCTGCCAATATCCAGCAACTTCGCACAGCCATTGAAGAGGAGTGGACCCACATTCCACAGGCCACAATCAACAACCTGATCAACTCTATGCGAAGGAGATGTGTTGCACTGCGTGAGGCAAACGGTGGTCACACCAGATAGTGACTGGTTTTCGGACCCCCCCAGACCCTGAGGCTGTGCGAAGTTGCTGGATATTGGCAGGAACTGGAACACGCTGTCGTATACGCCGATCCAGAGCATCCCAAACATGCTCAATGGGTGACATGTTAGGGTTTAACCCTAGGGTTTTCGGACCCCCCCAGACCCCCCCCAATAAAACAAAACTGCACGTTTCAGAGTGGCCTTTTCTTGTGGCCAGCCTAAGGCACACCTGTGCAATAATCATGCTGTCTAATCAGTATCTTGATATGCCACACCTGTGAGGTGGGATGGATTATCTCGGCAAAGGAGAAGTGCTCACTATCACAGATTTGTTCAGATTTGTGAACAATATTTGAGAGAAATGGTTATTTTGTGTATATAGAAAATGTTTTAGATCTTTGAGTTCATCTCATGAAAAATGGGAGCAAAAACAAAAGTGTTGCGTTTATATTTTTGTTCAGTGTAGACGACCTGATATGAGAGAAAAATAGTGAGCTGAAAACGTGATGCAAAATAAAGTTCACAACGTATTAGTGTTTTGCTGAATAAATGTCACCTTGCAGAACAAAAGCCAGGATGTAGAAAAACTGCAGCTGTCCATCTTCCATGTCTGCCTGGATGTCTTCACACACCAGAGGCCTGGAAAGATCAGAAGAGATCAATAACGTTAGAATAATAAAAGCACTGCCAGTGTTTTCATGTATAACAGGGTCTGCGGTGCTGCCATGCTGTCTCAGATGGAAGCACTTGAGCATCACGGAGTGAACTTCCCAGTAACTGTGAAGCAAAGGGGATAATTGACATAATAATAGCTGACAGAGCTTGGATTGTGAAAACCAAGGAAGTGTGAGACTGCGGTTAGCGCTTCGCTGCACATCAAGGCGCTGCTCTGATTCGTCTCCATTTAAGTTGACCATCGAGCAGATGACAAATTGGACGATTCTTTAAAAATACAAGAGCGCGTTGGTACCTGGGTTAAAATGGATAAAGCATGTTTGGCTTGGTAAAGGAACTAGAATGCAGGAGAGGAACTAAGTAAATGTACTGAAGTATTTGTAAGTAGTGACATTGGGAATGAGGGGCTTTTACAGAGTGTTTCTACAAAGCCCACTACCCAAACTGCTACAAGCATCAGGTGTTGAGAAAGTACTGGTGCATGAGTCAGGGTTTGTTGCGCTACACATGGCATACATTAACATGTGGTTCCCCCGCTAATTTAGTGGTGCCGGCTTTACAAATTGAAGTCCAAAAAAGAAAAAGGCTGATTGTAATCAAGCAAAGATGTGTGCAGTGTTAGAACTCTCTTTAACTCTTAACTACGGTATTTCGACCACATCTTCCAGCATTTTCACAAATCCAATCACAGGCGGCTGCCATTGTCTCGTTGCATCTGTAGTGGGACGTACCAGAGATGGTGCTGAGGGTTGAGCCTCGTGGTGGAGATGGACTCCAGCTTGCTGTCGGATTTGTGAGCCATCTCGCGCACAATTCCTGAGGAAATAAGGACACAAACAATTCAAACATATATAATATCAATGTGTTTATTTGTAAGAAGTAGACCAAGTCACCGTTGACTTTGGTTTTGAGGCCTTGAGTTTGGCATATTGGACGAAGCCTTGTTGTTTGATGGAACCAGAAGTGACATGAGGGTGGAGCTAAATACATTTGAAAACTAAACAAGACGATTGTAGGTAACCAAGCGATTAGATTTAAGGGTTATGACCTGAAAACAGACTTTCAATACCAAAACACGGACAGCCCCCAAACCTAACTCTGCAATATCAACCTGTCAATCATAAGGTACCAAAGCCAAAAAGCAAACTAGTGATTGAGACCCTAAACTTATCAGGAATATTTTTCCTTAGGCAACAAATCAAGTGAGAAGTAATAAAACCAGACTTCTGTCATATTATTGCTTTTGGTTGGTTTCCTAGCTTCCTATTACTGTAAATTGCGTGTCTTTATGGATATGTTTAATGAGTACAATGAGCAATTTGTAGATGTAAACTTGGATAACAGAGAGTAATGGTTATTGTTCCCTATTTACATTACTACTAACACTAAAACAATCAACCGATTAACCCATAGTGATTATACTCATAACTGTAAAATCTGAAACGACCAAACATTAAAAACCTATTTCCAAACCAAAGAAGGAACGGTGATTTAGACTGTGATAGCTATCAGCCGACCAAAGTTGCATTACAAGCTCTGAGCCTGTTGGAACAGCTGTGAAGGTGAAGAGCTGCGTGTAAGAAGCACATCTGGGAGTAAATGGAAGCATGTGCGCTGACTTTCATCAGACGCTTGGGAGGAAATAGAGGATGCCTTTTGGATTCGATAGTCATTGTTGACTTTTTGATAAAACAAACTGTTACAGATTTCTACGGGGTAAGCCTAGATCAGCATAGCAAATTGCAGGCATGACAGCATCTAGAAAAAACGTCCTTTTAGCTTTTGAAGGACACAGAAAAAGGTAAAGTGGACTAAAAAGATGTCACACCCAGAAATTCTTGAAAGCACGAAAGCCAAATGAATCTGAGACTCCTTCCTTCTCTACAACTATGATAAAAAAGCCAAAAGGTCTCTCGTTGCAGGTGTAACGTTTCCTCTCCATAGAAGCCGTGGGTGAGAAAAGGCTGGGAACACAATGCGCTGTGTCACGCTCACATTTACCAATTGTAGCGTATCAGTGAGTGTGGCAACAATACGGGGGTAAGAGGGTATCTGTAGTGTGGCTCCACACTCAAGTTACAATAGACGGACTTTAGAAAAAAGGGTTTTTAAAGGGGACACTGAAAAGAAAAAAAGATGGTCAAAACCCTTCTTAGGAAGTAGGAAGGTTCAGCGAGCAGAAAAGGGAGTCTCATGAATATCATTTTTCCACTGGAAAAAAAAAACCACATTCCATTATTCCCAGAAGTTTGTTTATAGGTGTGTGTGAAGGCGTTTCATTTCTGAATACAACAGGAACTATCTGACCAAAGAAGGAGCGAACAAGACGAGGAATCTGAATCAGTGCCAACTTTCCACACTTATGGTAAAGGTTTCAACCCGTCTTGTACATTAAGGAAATGGTAAACAAATGATCCATAGAGGTACTCTGTCCAGAAGAAATGGACTCAATGATGACAACTGTTAAATAAAAGCAGTTTCATGTCAAACAAATCTGAGTTCCTCCTGCACTGCTCAGAAGACAACTGATGTCCTGGAGGGGGATGCGGGTCGAGTTACACAAATGTTTGCTCAGCCTGTTTTCTAATAACTAGAGACGAAATATCTACAGAGGTCTCTTCCTTTTCCAGACAAACGGACATGGTGAGTAAGACACTAAATGAAGTAGTTTCTTTTTAAAGGAAACGTAGAATAGGACATGGAAACGGCTAGTTTGCTCGTGTGGGTAGATCGCATGGCATTGAAAAAAAAAAAAATTAATTAATTAATTTTTTTTTTTTAAAGTCAGCCTATCATCCATCCTCACTATGGCATTTGCCACTTGATTGACATACAGGTAAGCCAGTCTGAGTTGTATTGTGCCATACAGGTTCATGCAGTTATGAGGGGGCCTCACCTCCTCATCTTCAGGACACAGATTGGGCAGGGGCGGCCCTGTAGGTAGATCTTTTGGGCGTGGTCATTTTAAAAGTAGCTCCCAAGCTGAAAACGTGTGGGCACCCCTGAGTTAGAATATATAGTCAAAATAGTCCAGGATCTAACATTGTGTTGGATAACTGGATAAAAATCAATCAATGATTTGAAGTTGAACTTTTGTCCGAGAACCACAATATGTTGCTCTAGAAAATTGTAGAAACACTTGGGATAATGTGAAAACAAAGTAAGACATGAATTAAATACAACATTTGGACTGCAGTGAACACTTTACTAACCAACTTTGCACCACAACCCTTAATCCCATGGTTTCACTGTTGAATTGTAATGGATGCTGAAGGTTGCTGTTGGAGAAAATATAACATTCCTGCCCTGTTCTGTCTCTTGTATTGTTTTAGTGTCACATTTGTTTCTGTAATCGGCCTTGTAATCATTTTGAAACTAAAATGTTTGTTTGAATGCCTCAACAAGATACTTGACCCTGAAACAAAGCTTGATCACGAAAATCTGCACTGAGGAGAAACAGAGCTAATATAACTTGCTAACATGGACAGTTTTAGCAAGGTGTCATGTCGAATCGCAATCAGAAGCAAGCAAAGGTTACCAGACGTTTGGAACCCCCAACAGGCTTTGATTGGGGCTCTGCTCTGTGTCAATACTCCTGCTTCCTCTTGTTTCAGTCCCAGACTGTTTGGCTGGCTACAACACCAACAACAATGCCCCCGATCATTTTCACACGAAATCAAACACCAAAGCCCCGTTTGATACGTCGGACAGCGGAGACGTATGAAAAGGGAACGGATTCAAAAACAACACCTAAAAAAGGGGCATTTCACTCTAACCCAAATACATTCATCGCTCCTACCGAGTACAACAAGAGACTGGCATATCCATCTCAACATGCCAACGACAGCAGAAGATCAGCAACACAACTTCTGGACTCTTTTGTCTCTTGGCTGCAGATTTAAGAGGTCTCGTGTTATCTCTCCTGTTTCAATAAAGTTGTGTCAGACTGGGTTTGTTTCTGAAATCCAGAAAACTGTTTTAGTTTCAAACTTCAGAGTCCTCCGTCACTGCAGCTTTCATCTTCGTGCGCATGATGGGAGCCAGCTTGGACAATAGACCGAGTTTGTTTTGGTTAAGCTTTCCCGTACTTCTGACAGAATCTTACAACAGCTGTTTTGAGGTTAATTCGGCATTAGGAAATACATAGTTTGCCACAATAACAGCTCAGGTTGTAACAGATCTAAGGAAATATAGACCTTGTATACTTTGTGTGTAAGTGTTTAGAATTAAGGGAAGGAAAACTATTATTCATGTCTTGGACAAGCTCTTTGCCCTTGGTTAGAGCAATCTGGAATGAATTTCGGTGACAAAAAAATAGCTTAAATCAGCTGTTTATGAATTTGGATACAAGTAAAAAAGCTCCCAGAGGATACAGGGGACGCTAGGAACAAATGGAGGGATAAAAGGATTGGTTGGATTTAGGGAAACACGACCACAATGCTGATGCGTGTGCAAAAAATAAAGGATATCATTACAGGCAATCTGGCGTTACATTTTCATGTCATGTCATGACACAGCACAAATATGTAACATAGGTCTAGTCATTTCTTCCCGATGATATGATGCTTCAAATGTTTTTGCTTTATTATGACATTATTCTGGGTAGAAGAAGACTTTTTTGTATTTAATAATTTTCATATGCTTGGCCTGGTCTCGTTTGATTTTTCACGGAGTAAAATAACGGACAAATGTAATGAGTTAAAACGTTTTTGTGTCCAACTGAATGAATTGCTCGAAGAATATGTACCAAACAACACTTTTCATGTTCTTCCAAGAATGTTCCTGCTTGATTGTGTGTGAGTGAAAGCTGGACAGAAGCCCCTCAGACAGCAGCTGGATGCGGGGACTGGTGGAAAAAGTTGAGACTGCTCTTCTAATCAGCGTGTCTGTTTGCTGGTTCAATGTTTTGTACCCTTTCATCGATAATACGAAACAGTAATTGGTGGAAAATCTCTGTCTGTTACAAATGTCCCAAAATGTAACATGTTTTCCTGTTTACTTCACGGAACTGGAGATTGTAAGATTCATTTTCCATATTTTTCCAGACATTCCAGCCCCGAGCCCCTTCTAATAAAAAGGTTTTCTTCTCGGCCGCTGGGCAGGATGTGCTCAGTTTGTGTGAACCCCATACTGTGGGGGGCAGAGGTTTGCGTCACGTCGCTCTCATATGGTATAGTATTAGTTTCTGTCTGTGGCACAATGCCTGTGAGGGGAACACACACACACACACACACACACACACACACACACACACACACACACACACACACACACACACACACACACACACACACACACGGCATTCAACAGCACAGCTATTTTTAAAAGTAATTATTTTCCATCCCCTCAGAGCGACCTTAGGAAAACTGCTTAGTCCAGTTAGTACAGAAAGAACAGGCTCAGTGAGTTCCTCCCTCTAAAGTGACTTTTATATGTTTTTCCATACATTAAACATTGTGTTTGGCAGTGCTTCTTTTACCTGTCAGGAGGCCAAAGAAGCGTTTGCAGCGTAAACTGTCCCTCACGAGGAGGGTGTAGGCCACTCCCCCAAACGCCATGTGGATGCACTGGGAGCCAAGTCCCACCTCCAGGTAGCTGAGCTCCATGATTGGGTGGCTGTCCCGCTTCTGCAGCCAATCGGAGAGCTGGCCTCTGCTGGGAGGAATATCAGGCATCAGAAAGTGAAAATGTAGTCGCAGCGTAGACAGATGAAATGGTTTACATGACCTGTGACACTTGGAGGTGTGACTGCCAGAACAACACTTTAAAATGTGTTTGTTAAGCCAGAGTTTACTTTACATGGCAATAACTTATGAATTACCTTGTTTTTTTAAAGATGGAAATATAACGTCAAAATAATAGTTGGACTTCTTGCACGAACAAGTCACAGTTACTTTCATCATAAAAATCACAATAATGTGGGAAATGGGTTTTAATGACAGTTTTTCCATTATAAAATAAAAGATAAATAATAATTAAAATAGTATATAAACATGTAAATACAAGTTAGAACAAGTGCAATACAAATATAAAATAAAAACGAATAAAGATATTTAAATAAAAGTCCTTTAAGAGATAAGAGAAATATTTAAATTTACAAAAGAAGTAAAAATGTGCACAATATACAACATGTATATTTCAATATTCAATGGTGTATTGGCATTATTTCCTAGTAAGGTTTTCATGCATGTGGTAGGAAAGAAAGAAAAACAATACAAGGGGTTAAAACTATAAAACAAATACTCCACAGTCCAGAGACACTGCGAGGTCAATGTGTTCTCAAGATGTGACCCAGAAAACAGGTTATGCAATATAATCCACATCCTATCTGGAGTGTGTGGAACCACACACACACACACACACACACACACACACACACACACACACACACACACACACACACACACACACACGTTAAAAGTCATAATTGTTAGCTGCAGAGTGGCGCCCTCTTTTGAACCTCTGTCCAGTCCAGCAGGATTTAATTACCCTTTTGATCAATTGGAATGTGTTGTATAAATATCTCACAGACTTGACTTTATACTTCCAAGATACGTGTTATGCATATAATACTGCAAGAATGCATATCACTATACAGTGTAAGCCACTTACTATGTTTGTTTCTAGTCTGTGAAGTGGCTCTACTCACTGGGTTTCTGATGTCATCTCCAGGAAATACATGTGCATGTTGGACACCACCAGCAGAGAGGGGACTTGCCCGGGCTCCCCAAACTTCACAGCTGACATCTGAAGCCGCACAGTAAAAAGGAAGCATGACATTAAGCTGAATGCACATTGTCTGGAGTGGGAGTGGAACGTTATTATACTCAAAGTGCTGCTCTTCCCTGTGAATTAGTGAAGGACTTGGGCAGGATATAAGAAACTTAGTCCGACGGCAGAAGGATTGTTTTTAATTTTGCATTATGAAAATATAGTGGAATGGTTGAAAATGAAGTCCAACTTGCAGTATAACACTAAAATACTTTATAATTCTTACTCTCAACCTCGTATCTTTAGTCTAGACCTTTTTACTTTATTCCTTGAAATAAATCGTCCTTCTACTTCAGATATATTTCTCTGTTTGCCTTGGACCAATGTTGGACTCATTCTATATAATATGCCTTTTTTGTTATCATAATAGCAGTTTTGAGTTTTACACAGGCTCTTTAGGAGTTTAAGATCAAACCTCTCTAGACCAAAGCCTTCCTTAACGTTCTCTAAAACAACCCAAGAAGTCAAAACAAGTGAACAGCGAGCGGCCCTGTCACTAGATAAATAAACTGAACTAAGATGAATGGAGCGGGACGTTTGCTTGATCCTGTACGGCTCTCTGCTGCTCGTCCAGGTGTCTGACAGAGAAAAGCAATATCCGTCAGACTTGAAGAGCTCCCGGGGTGCAAGGCATATTAAAAGAGGGTCTCAGTGAATGCCAGCAGGGGGGGGGGGGGGGT